CACATTACCGTCAGGGATACATATGAATTAAGCGTCATCTGTGAATGGTGATTTTATACGGTTTTCCTAAGCAAATTTTTTATTTACCTTTTCTACTTTAACTTTGCTTTTTAGCGCATAGCTGATATTATTTTATTTCAATTAATACACATTATCAATATTAAAAAAGCATTAGTGTCAGTAATAATATGTCAATTCAAAACGAATAAGTATCTTTTCACCAATATTTTTTCAATAATTTTGATCAGTTTCTTATGTCAATTAACAAATTACAAACATTAAATAAGCATCATTGTCGCCATTGATAATATGACGATTTCTTACGATTCTTCTAGACAAATAAATAGATTAACTCCATTGCTTCTGCTTTCTAGTACAAAGCTTATTTCTATTTCAATATGCATAGATTAAGCATCATTGGCCTTAATAATAATGCGGCGATTTTTTACGTTTCATATAAACAAATAAATACAACATTCCCATTAATTTTACCTTTAAATACATAAATATTTTGAATAAACAGTTTTTTGGAAAAATATTTTAAAAGAAATATATAAAAAAAAACGAGGTAACAGAGAACTTTAAAAGTATAAATTCGGTGATGCAGCCCACGCGTAGAGCCCCTGAATTAGACAGGCCGACTCATCATCTATTTTTGCCCCAAAGAGCTAACATAAGCACAATACTAACATAATGTTAACTTGTGAACTTTTTTGCTCCAATATTGCTTGATAGGTCAGCTCTGATAGTATAGGAGCCTTACCCACGCATATTACCACATCATGATGCTCATTGAATTTATCTGACATCGCGAATAATAAAATAATTCAATATTTATATACGTGCAATTAACTATTTTTTATCAAATAGAGCTATAATCTAGACATTATCACTGATGTTATTCTTTTTTTCATTTTTTTAAAATTTCTAATGGCAAAAAAAGATGACAAACTCTTACAAAAAACAGTGAAGAAAAAGGTGAACAAAAAGTAAGAGAAAAAAGTCATTATCTCATTAACAGATGTCGGGCACCCCACGTAGAGCCGAGCATCTCAATAGATGGTTCCTGTCCATAAGTTCATTATTCGAGCATGTAACGGGCAATTTGGGTCAGCGAGAATGCCGATGCTCCCAAAAACTAGACAAGTTGCTAGTGAAATTCTTGTTGGTGTCAAGAACAATCTCACAGCGGAGATTAATACTTAAAATTTTTTGATATAAATGTAATTAGNAAACTTTGTTTACGAAATTAAATTATATAAAATTATGAGGCTTTATGTCCTACTTTTTGCTCATTTTAATTTTTGAAGTAATATGATTCTTAAAACTATGGAATGTAAAGTTTAAATGGGCCTTTCATGTTATTTAGTAAAACTATATCTCAGGCATTGGGTTTTAACTCTAATAAGAAGATACATATTTTTTTCTGTTTATTTACAAATATTTTTCCGATGTGTTTTGGATGTTCCTTCTCTAAAAAAAAAGTTACCATTTTGTTTTCTTTTGCATAAGAAAGAATATGAAACATTTTTTCTTTTTTAAATTTAATAAGGCACAATAAAGAAGGAGCGTTACAATGCTACATTAAAGACGTCTCCAGAGTAACTGAATGACTGTTCAAATAGAAATCGCAGGTATCCGTCTCATACAACAACGTCCCCTATAGTTCGTTGCGATCACGAATTCATCTGACACAGCGAATATAAAATATTTAAATACGCATGCAATAAACTATTTGTTGTTCAAATAGAGCTACAAGCTAGCAATTGTTATTGATGTTATCTTAAAAATATGTGATAATTGAATCGCTAATTTTAAAACAATGGCTAACGCTTAACTAATCAGAAAATTCAATTTCATTTTTCGCTCATCCTGCAAGAACGATTTGTCTCAGAATGTTCTAATGTTGACAGTGACCTTCCTCGTGCTTGAAACTATCTGTATGGGAAATTTCATCGTTTTCCGTCCGATGGTTTAGGAGTCTATAAAAGACATACACACAGACAAACATTCATTTATATATTTATAAATTTAAAAGATTTAAGGATTTAAGGATCGCCCAGAATCAGTGCCGGCGGAAGACATTTTCACGCCCAGGGCAATACTGAAAACTTCTCCCTTAACTCAAACTGGGAAAATGAATTTGAATTTAAAAAAAATAATAACTTATTTTTTCCCTGGTATTGTCGGGCTACAGTAGTAATAATGTATAAAATTGTTTTTTTTTTTCTACCAGAAAATTTTTAAATCTACGTCAAACCCAAATGATGATTTAATAAGCATGAAAAAAAATAACAATAAAACATTGAAAGGTTAAAAAAAAGCAGATAGTTTAATTAATGAGAATATTACTTAAAATATTCTAGAACAAATATCTTTAAGGAGCATAATACTTTCGGACCTACAAACATATAAGTATAAACATTAAAAAAAAAAATTTCGTACTTTAGTAGATTCAAGCAGTTTTATAGACTTTTCAAATTTAGTTGTTAAACGGTTTTATTTTCGATCGAAATTTTTGCCAAAGAATTTAGAATTTGTGTCATTGTAGATCTTAAATAGGTTTTTGTAGCTTTCAATTCGCTATAAAAGAACGTTCGTCACCTGTTATATATAGTTAACATTGTTGTTAACAAAATTCTGATGCTTATTTACTAGTTTCGAAAAATATTTTTTTAAATTGTTCTTATGAATGAACAGTATGAGTATCTTCCATATTTTTTTGTTATAATTGTGCATGTTTAAATAATATTTTAGTGTTTTACCATTCAATATATGCCATTTTGTAAAAATTATTATAGAAAAAAAAATTTTTTGTCTGCGACTTGAGTAACCTTTATGGGTTTATAAACATTTTTATTAATTTATGAACTGATTCTCTGATTCGACCATTCACTAAAATTCCTTTCAATGACTTCCCAATAAACAATTTCCATGCTATTTATTGTGAATATCTGTAAATACACCTTTCCCTAATCCACTTGTAATAAAATGTTTATGAAATAGCTATAAAATTACCATTTACAATAAACTAAATATGGCCTCATATAAAATACAATTACAAAGAAACGGATAGTAGTCGTAGTAATAGAAAAATATTAAATTATCGCTATCAAGTTTTAGAGAAGATTAGATGTTCTCTATCCAGGCAAAGGAAGGTTTATAAAACTATACATAAAAACCTAACGTAAATTACAATAATAATAAACGTTTACATAAATCAGACGAATTAATAAGTTGTTGATCCCGCTATTAGCAAATATTTGTAGAGAAGAAGTCTTTCTTCAATAGTCTCCATATCAAAGGAAAAAAAATGTAAAATATATTAGGAATAAATAGTTATTTCTCATTCTTAACGTAAAATTTACTAAAACTTTGGTAATTATCTTAGAAATTATCCTTTCCATCTTGTTTAGCCCTTCAAAAAATCCGATGTAAATTAGATGAAAATACATTTTTGAGACGAAATAGAAGTTTTGTGCAAAACGAAATTTTGTACATAAAATATTAAGGTTTACATCAAATTCACATTAAATTAAGAGAGCCTTTGACACACAGCTTTACAGTTAAAATTAAAATTTCGATGCGTGCTCGCAAGTAATAAATCTGAGCATGCTTTTTAAATACGTTGTGTGCAATTAAATTTGAAAATTGATTAAGTGATTACACAGCAACGAATTACGAACCCGAGACATAAAATGGGCTTTACAATTATAAATTCACGCCCAACGCGTTTTAAATCATTTTAACAATCCTTAAACAATGGCATTTCTTTTTTTCTTTTTTTTTTAGATCTGTTATTGAAACTTTCTAATGTCTATTTTTTCTCTCAGGTAGGAAGTAGTTATATGTTATCAGATGAGCAAATAATGAGCTTAGTAAGTAGGAGCATAGTAAAAAAGTGGTCTTTAAAAAAAAAATACGTACTTATTAATTGATTGCATTTAAGGTTTAATACACGATACACTCGCTTCATTTAATTTATGGAAAGACCTATCGCAAAATATTATTACTTAAGAAATGTAAATATTTGTTTATTTCCCAAAAATATATACTTTTTATATCATTGATTTTTATATATATANATATTTTTACATTAAAATGAATAGGAATGATTTGGGACCACACTAAAACGTCGTATAAATGTAAACGTCGTATAAGTGATCGTCGTATAAACGATGCTCCACTGTATATATATATATATAAAGCTTCAATTAATATTTTTATGTTATTCCTTTTCTGTAAATCCTTTTCTTAATTAAAGATTCAAAACGAAACTCTTTCTCACACTTTTAAATTCACACCCTGTTCTTTAATCTATTTTTAGCCCAAGTATGCATGAATTAAAAGTAAGACATTTCCCCCTTTGCTCTTTGTGGGAATAGCGCGACCCATTTAATAAACCAAATACAATGACTAAGATTTTCTTTATTCCCTAAAATGAAACATTTTACGGATTTACTTTGCAAGATTTTTCCTAACTTATATTGAGGAACACAACATTTCGTGACCACTTTGATAAACGTTCTCTGTCTAATAATTAATAAANATTTATCTCAACAAGCTATATCAGAAATATTTTACGGATTTACTTTGCAAGATTTTTCCTAACTTATATTGAGGAACACAACATTTCGTGACCACTTTGATAAACGTTCTCTGTCTAATAATTAATAAATTAATTTTGTACTCTCCTTTCATGCCTAAGATCTGTTTTAATCCTTAAACGACGTTATATATATAGTTTTTAACATGCATTTTGCGAGCTATATCCAGTTCATTAAACACGCAGTGTCTATAATAAAAAGCTCACCACTGATATATTTTTCATTCCGGTAATCAACAATCAATAAAAAAAATTAAAAAAATTGGAGACAAATTTTACCAAGGGTATGCAGGAGTCCCTTATAGATTGATAACAAAAGAAACACATTTTAAAATAAAACAAAAAATACTTACGAAAAACTGTTTAAAAATGTTTTTAAATAGAATAAACTTACCAGCAACGTCAGAACCACAGTGTACTTCACTGACACCAATACAGGATACCCGATCACCAGCTATAGATGGAGCTAAAAACTCTCTTCTCAGTTCATCGCTTCCGAATCTAAAATGAGTGTGTAATTTAATACAACAATTTTGTTGCTACATACTTAATATTTCGGGCACAGCTTCATAAAAAATGTATATATATATATTGCATAAAAACGTGAAAGATATATATGTTGATGTTGTTTTTATATCAAGATTATATAACAGTTTACGTTGAATTCCTCCATGGATTACAATAATAGTTTCCCAGAACAGGACTGTTGTGATATTGGCACAGATTTATCTAGCCACAAAAATACGTAAAGCCACTCATTTTCGATGACTCCCGCTTTTTAACCAGGGATTCTGAAAGAAAAGTGGTTGCAAGAATATACTTAAGTTAATCAAACGTTATTCAGATCAGAAAATTTAGAGATTTTAATTTGTTCAAAAACATGATGCCTTTCACACTATAGGTAGTTTTTGGGATTAACTAAACTATGGTGCAATTAGATACTTTGCAACAAGTATCGGTTAAACATTTGCCGAGTTTGTTTTTTTTTTACAGTGTAGGGTCACATGTGTGAGTATACTTGATTTTTTCTTGTTGAAATACCAATTATGGCTTTCCTTGAAGTAAAAACGCATTATTGAACTGCCACAACAAGTTGGTGGAGTGTTTAGTGAAAGAGTGCACTTTTTATAAGTAAGAAAAAAGTTAAAGAGCGCCAAATATGGGCATATTTCTTTGGCGAAAATTAAAAAATGGCATATCATTCCAAGTCTTTGGTTCACTACGATTGAAAGCTCATCAAGTTAGATTTTCAATTTATTTATTTTGTTACAAGTACGTCAAATAAGTTGTATATATTCGCTTTCCCCCTTATTTTCCGTTTCTCTTTTAATTTTGCTGCAACCCTCTAAGCACCGGAGAAAATTGTTTGGCTGTGGAAAATTTTCTTATCAGTTGGCCTCGAGCAACGGCATCACGTGAAATTATTCTGAATATAGTTGATCTTTATTTTGATGGGATGAACAATTGAAAAACGTATTTTGCTTGATTCAATAGCATGAAGCCACCGGAAAGGACAAAGTATAATAATAAATTTAAAAAATGGAATCATTTTAGCTTTATTAATTGTGCTAGTATATATCTATCAGTTATGTGCAAGATTTCGTTGCGTTGTTCAGTACCCCCGTACGAAGAACAGATATTCAACTAGTAACAAAATAAATGAGAATATAATAATTATAAATTTTTGAGACATAAAAATTCAGTTTAAAATTCGAGTAAGAAAATGATTTCTTTTTACTTTAACACCTACCCCAGTAGAAAAAAAAATTCACAAAAAAAAAATTTTTTTTAACCTTTTTTTATACAGCTTTTCAACAAGGTTTCCTTTTTGCACCCAAGTTCGTAGTAAACACGTAAGAAATCAAAAGTGCGGACAATGTTTAAAAATGTAGACAAAAAACTGTCGGATAACATATTTAACCCTTTCAATGCCATCCTCATCAATCCAATAGACACAGCTCAAAACAATTTTGTATAAGAAAATGAGCTCAGTTCAAAGTGAAAGTTTAAGAAAATGAACAAAGCTCAAAATGCGTGTTTAAGAAAATGGGTATAACTAAAAATGCGTGTTTCAGAAAAGGGGCATAACTAAAAATATGTGTTTTAGAAAAAGGACATAGCTCAAAATGCGTATTTGAGAATGGCATCAAAAAGCATATTTAGAGTATTTAAGAAAACGAACTGCATAGGTGTTTTAAGCTTTAAGTGCGAATGCAAGAAAAATAAAAATTAAAAATTCTAATTCTTTTAAAATACCATAATTTAGAATGCATCGTTTATAGGTTATGAGAGAATACAGGAAAATATCTACCGGTATTCATAAACTAGTTTTAGTAAACCCATCAATGTAACTGAATGTTAGGATAAATATAACTGCATGTAAGATTTTGTTACGTACTAGGATGAAAGTGAAATGAATTTTCTTTCATTTAAGATTTAACACAGCTATTAATTATTTGCCCTTATATATTTCAAAAGTAAATTAACTTTAATTATGTTTCATTAGTAAATTAACTTGAATTATGCTTAGAAGATATTTGGAATGGGTTGTGTCTTCAAATACATTTATTAAATTATTAAGCATTTAAGAGAAGAGTGACTGATACTATTGTCGAAAATTTAGAGTTTTATATAACTCTACTTCTTCATTAATTACTTATTTAGAAGTGAGTTTATAAATCTACTTAAGATACCTCCCCAATTAGCTGTAAATAACACCAAACAAGGCCGGGTCGGCAGGACACTGAACTCACGTTCATGAGGATGGGAGAACGAATCCAACCGGCCAAAAACTCCCCTAGTAAATGGCTAGTAATCCTAGTGTAGTAAATGGTGACTGGTGAAGGTTAAATCTGCCTGCCAGCAAAGTCCTCCATGTTTCCATAACAAATTATACCACTGGGGGTACTGAATTGGAGATTGACCGTTATCTGGTTCAGGTTAAAATTACGATCTATGGATGAATGAATAGATGTATGAATGGGTCCGCCCTAAAAGCGGGTGTGGCAGAAGTCGAATTCATGGCCACAGGTGGCACCACTGGGAAACAAGAACGATAGCATTCCTTCTGCCTTAATGGCCGACAACAACAGCATCAAACAAGCACTTATTTGACAGATGAGGATAACAAATCTATAATTAAATATTTACCTCGACAAAGCTGGAGTAGACATATCGGTGTGTACGGCTATCGCCATTTGGACACCTCCGCAACCAATTTTACCTAATTCTTCTAAGAATGCAGCGGAATACGAATAATCCAATTCTAAGCCACCATATTCTAACAAACAAAAATTTATAAAATGCATTTATGTAGAAACCATAAAAGAATTAATATTACAACAACAAATTATTTATATATAATTTATGAATAGAGGATAAAGAAAAAAAAATACAGACAACGATTAAGAAATCAGAAACAATGATGTAAAACATTAAAATTTCTTGGTAATAAGAGTGATTTATTATTATTTTTCCAAATTAAAACTTCACCTGTGGCCAATTAGTCTAGCACAATAAACTACCGTTTCGCGACTTAGCCTTTCCCTGCTGTCTTCGGCAGCATTTCTCAGAATTTTAAATGTCCCTCAAGGGGTTCCCTTTGTCATCATGCTAACCGTGGGCGTTTTACTTCTCCATCCTCCACGAAGACCAATTTACACCAGAAGTTCCCTTGTCTTCTAGGTATCGTTCAAAATTCATGGAGTTGAACACTGAGAGACTTAAATCAAAAAGGGATCTGCTGTTCGACACCTGATATAAAATAAAATCTCTCTGATGGACTCAAGCGCTTTGAGATTCTCCCTCAAATATTCCACACAATGGATTAAAAAATGACATAAAATCAGCGTGTTTCATTTTCACAGTCGCGACATAGCAACTTCTCGAATTTTTTGGATGTCTGATAAGACTAACCTGTCACCAATTGTGTTTTTTAGTGCATCGAAAACCACTATAATTTATTATCAACGCAGTTTCAAGGTCGAAAAAAATCCATGCACGGTTCGAAGGTCAGGGAGTGTGGTGCAGAGAATAGGTATCACTACCCCCTACTCTGCAAACAATCTAAATTTCAGGTACGGTAGTGAGAGGAAGCAAGGGTAAGTTCTTCAGATTATCACTAAGAATTAATCCCAGATCATCGCCAATAGCTCATGAGGGTAGCTTTAGTGCGCCGCAATAAATCCCATTAAAATAAAAAAGGAGAACACTACTGTAATGTTTTTTATTTAAAATAAAAAAATTTATTATTATTATTATTTTAATTTTCGTCGCTTGGGTAGACATGGCATCAAGCAAGTCCGGCAAGCGTTCTCCTTTTTGATCAACGACGCAGAGCATTTTCGAGGGTTAAATTTTCCCCATTCGTCCAAATCATAGAGCAAAACACTCGCGGTTCACACATGTTACAAAGTAATTAATTGTTTAATATTAATATCAACCGTTTATTATCAATAATAGCCAGGTAAATCGGGTAAAGAGAATAATGTAACAGAATTTATCACATTTACCGGTTATTATTAATAATGACAAATCACGTTCAGTCAAAGTTATAATTTTCAACACATTTATTAAGAGATTTCCAAACACGCATGCGAAATGGTAATTTTACGCACGTTTATTATTTTAATTTCTATTTTTATTTTATTATATTGAATAATATTTATTATTTCCCGAGCAATATTACTTGAATTTAAGATATAAGTAAAAATCCGTATTTCATGCAACTTTAATTTTTTTTAACCCTGCCATTCTCTACGAAAGAATTATTATCACAGCACAGACATTCCAAAACTATGTTAGTGTTGAAGTTTCTATGAATTATAACTAATAAATCACACTGATCAAATTTCATTGACAATCATTAATAATCAGTTAATGTAATTAATGCCTTTAATCAATCACAATTTTTAAAGAAAAATTTAATTGTTAATTATAATTACTGGTTATTATTATTAACAGTCATATTTATTACTTTAACCCTAACATATATCAAGATAACTTTCAACAATGTCCAATAAACAAATATTTTGTTGAATTACTAGCATTTAACTAACTTTTAACTCACATTTAACCACTTCAGAGCAAGAGCCAGTGAACACCGAACCCACGTAATAGTATAAAGGGTGAAAATTTTTCTACGACAAGTACAGTACACTAAAGCGGGTAAGAACGGTTGGCTATAATTAACTTTGTGACGCGTTGCTACTGGCAAGTAACAAGTGGCAAAGTTGCACAAAATGGGACCCTACTTACATCATTTTATAAAAGCTGAATCTTTTATATAATACTTTATATATTACCTGTGCAACTATTTTATGACGTTTTCCAAGTAGCCGGACAGTTCGCATACTGCTAACTACCTGCTAGATACTTCGAAAGGTAAAAAAATAGTAACCGACTTACGTCATTCGCTTTCTATAAAAGGTGAATTTTGTCTATGTTATTCGGGCAACTGCTTTAAGACTTTTTCCAAAGAGCCGGTCAGTTCGCATGCTGCAAACCGCCTGCCAGGCAACCCTAAAGGTTAATAAAATGGCACTGTACTAACGTCGTTTTATAAAATCTGAATTCTATATCTGTTAATGTTTGCCTTATTTGAAGTCTTCAGACAGTTTCGAAATTCTTAACCCACTGCCAGACAGTTTTGAAGTTTCTAATCCTCTGCCGGACAGTTTCAATGTTCCTTATTTTCTGTTGAATATCTTTAAAGTTTGCTAAATTTTAACTGTACTTTCGCCATTTTATAAAATTTGAATTCTACAAATGTTATATGCCAACGATGTTTCCTAAGTAATAGCGTTGAAAATCAGCTGTACGTTAGGGCACTAAGCAACGTAACTACTAATCGCTTACTAGTAAGAGCGTACTAGTAAGATAGTCAGTTTTACTGCGGTCTTTCGTTGAGCACATTTTGTATCCCACGACAGATGAACAGATAAGATAGCACATACTGTTTTTGTATTTTCGGAATTTTATATCAAATATCGCGCTTAGTATTCACGCGACTTAAAAGCCACTATTATGATTCGTGTTCAATTGGATATACTATAGCCTACGTCACAGGTTGTGTTATTCCTACTAAATTTAACCCATGAACGGCATTTTCTGCGAGCCTAACTTCAAGCCACAAATAAACAAACGAAGTGCTTGATCGTTTAAATAGTTGCTCGCCAGATTTTATTGCATTATAAAGAAAAGTAATTGATATTCGATTTTTGATTAATAATTGATTTATGTGGATAGTGGCATTTATGTGGATAGTGGCATAGAATTTAGCATTGCGCCATGGTAAATGTTATTCCTACTAAGTGGAAGTAGTTTTTATATTATACCCAATCGACTTAAAAATTATACATTTGAATTCGTATTCAAGCGATTTTAAAATCAAACATCGAGATTTCGTATCCACGAGATTTTAAATTCAAACACCGAGATTCTAAAATCAAATAACGAGATTTATGTGCGCGTGATTTAAAAATCACACATTGAAATTCATATATTCACACAATTTTAAGTAAATAAACAAAATCTCACATCGATATTTTCATTAAAATGTTGATAACATTTTGTGGATAAGTGAGTCTTGCATACTTTTTTTCCTTCTCAATTTTCAGGTATTTTTTCAATCATTTAAAAAGTGTTTTTACACGTAACATTTTTGGATTTCTATTTTCAGCTTATTTTGGTTTATTAACAGACTCATTCCTGTGGTGTGAAACAATAAAGAGCTTTATAAAAATTAAATATTTTTTTTAAAAAAATCCATGATTTTCAAACAGATTTTGCCCAAATGATTTGGCTACAAAAGGGTAGAAACTATTTACAAAAGTTAATCAATGTTTGCAGAAATTTTTTTAATTGAGATTTTGTGTTCGAGTCAAAATCAAAAAATCTGATAACCATGGTGGTCCTTGTCACCAAATGTCTAATGATGAAAGTTCTGTTGGTGAAACACCATGAGATAAATAATCCACTGGAGTTAGGTTAACCGGGTAATACCCCCATTATACTGGAGTTGTGTAATTGAGAATTTCGGTGTTCGAAAAATGTTTTCCATCGATTTGAATCCCCTTGAATCCAGTTTAAGGTAATTGCTGAGTCGCGCCAAAGTGTTGCTGTGTTTCTATCTAAATTTGTTTCTATACAAAAATGGTGGAGTAAACGAGCTTCCAATAAGGCGGCCAATAGCTTCAAACAAGGAAGTTTTATTCTTTTAAGAGGAGAAAGTCTATTAAGACTGCAAACCATTCGAACTTGTAATTTATTATCTCCTGTAAAACGAACAGTCAGCAAAATAAAAAAAAATTAAAAAAAACGAATGACCCTGAATAACTTTCGTTCTAATGATCGGATTTTCACGAACTAAGTGTCAATCCTAATGGTTCCAGGCGGTGACATCAAATATGCTAATTAATTAGTGCTAACTATTAATTAAGTTACGAAATCAGACACAAAAACGTACTTTCTCTGAATAAACATATATTTTTTTTTACATATTTGGAATCTAGACACTTGAATTAGGGGGGGTAGACAAAATTTTAAAACAATTGGGTCGTAAATTGGGTTGCAATAAAGGTTTATATATTTGGCGATAGTCCAGAAAACCGCCAAAAAAAGTCGCCTGCGCAAATAAATATTTTAAGATAACCCTTGACTGATTCAAAAGAGAAACGCTTAATTTTACTAGGTTGCTAGGCAACCAATTTCTGACTGTAAAAAAATTGAAATAATGTTTTGTGATTGCTCTGAGAGGTTTAATTAATAGGAGTTTTTTTGAGCCAG